TTTAAAGTAATTTTTTAAATCTTCCGTTAAAATACTTAAATAGCTTTTGTTTTATTTATGTTTTAATTTTAATTATTCTTTATATTTTTTATTCGTAAATAAAAACATTTTTTTTAATATTTTTTATTTTAAACTTTATTTTTCTGTTTACTAAAGACTTTATCATTGAAATTATACTTCTAGTATTTTCATTTATTTATTTAATAAATTTCATGTTTTGTAAAAACAATTATTTTAATATTTTTACTTAATATAAATATGATCTTATTTAACTTAATAAAATATATTTTTTTAATATTGATTTCTATAAATTTTTAACAGTAAACTTATAAAAAAATATTAGATTTAATAATTTTTTAATAAGGCTTAAAAGCTTTATAAATCCCTTGTTAAGAGATTGAATTATTATAGTTGTATTTGTAAAAAGAAGAAACAATTTCTTATGTTATGAAAGTTCATAAACAATATTATTTAGGATTTTATATATTAATAATAGAATTTCTCAATTTAAACTTAAAAATATTTTTACCAATCATAAATATACTAATTAGATCATTATAATCAAAAATATTTTATTATAATAAAATATATAACATATTGAAACCTTTCTTGTAAAAGAAAATTTGAAATTAATATCAATTTAATTACTTATCTCTTTTGGATTCAAAAGTAAAAAATAGAAAAGTTTAAATTAATCATATTATTGATATAAACTATTTGTATTTAATTAAATTTTTATTATTGTTGTTTTACTGAGTGTTAAAGTTTTTCATACTCAGCGTTTTGTAATTATAAACAATCTTTTTTAAAAAAATAAGTTTTTTAAAAATCTTAGAGGAAAGTCAACCGTACAGTCCTTTTAATTAATTCATAAAAGAAACTCTTTTTTTAACTTAATTTTTTTTAATAACTGAAAATAACATTCAAATTGTAAAATTTATCAAAAAATTTTATCAGATTTGATTTAAAAATTATATTAAACAAAATTAATTAGTTTAAACAAATAATAAAGCTAGTAATTATAAATGTAATTCACACATCTGATAAATAATAAAAATATAAAAAAAATTTGTTATTTACCCCTCTATGAAACTAATAAATATAATAAGTTTACAATTAATGATTTTAAAATGTAACAG